CTGTCTGGTTAATGCAATGAAATTAAACCAGATGATCTTATTTTGAAGAGTGTTGATGAAATTGGCATCTGATGGTTGACATTTGATGTTTTCTGTGTGTTTTTCCGATATGGAGATCTATGTGGATCTTTTTAACTTTATTACTTTTTAGTTGATGGTTGATAGTGGATATTATTTGTGTTATCATAAGCAACAAGGTAATATTGTTGAACAAATAACTCAACTAAAACCCAATACATTGTATTTCCAAAACCAACCACTGCCGTATGCTATTGAGCTAAATAATGACTGTGATATTAATAAATTACCAAACAATTTGATACTAGAGGGAAGTGTTAAATGCCATTTCTTAATAAATTTAATGATTATAATTTTTAATTAAATAATTTAGATTTACTGGAAGAAAAGAATCAGCCTGGAGTGAGACTTGAACCTGCAATTGCCACTTACTGTGCAGATGTGTTTGGTATGCATCCACACGGTAAGTGGTAGTAGTTGTATTTACCATATTGATCTAATAGATTACACATTTAGAATCTACAGTATTTGCTTTATTTCAATACAGATTTTTTGTATAAAAATCACAAGTCTAGATATGGAATAAACAAACATCATTCCTAAACCCAATACATTTAAAGCTATACACCAAAATTATTTAAAATTTTTAATTTTTAAATACTTTTGGTGTACATCTACCAGTGCATTTTTCCAGTAGATATAAAGGCACGAAATTCCCCAAATGGAAAGGATGAAGAATGTGAAGATAGCGGTAAGACCCATGAACTCTTAAGTTGAAATTTATAATTTTAATTAGATATTTTTCTGTGTTTTTTAAAGGAATATTTGTAAACTTGACAGCCAAGTAGCCTAAAAAAAAAGAAGGTCAGGTCATCAAAAAGTATGTTCTGGAACATGTGAAGTGAATAAATGTTGTTTACCAAAAATTTTTTTGGACAGTCTGAATCTTCAATTAACTCAAAAAATATCATCCAATGAAATTCCAATATTAAATTATAATTATTAAGAGATGGCACATAACGCCTAACTCTAATGACAAATTGTATGATAAATTATTAATAATATAGCCGTTTCTAGCCTGATAATATTTGGCTTTGGTTGGCATATAGCTAATATGGAAGTTATTTGTTGAGCATTCAGTATCCGATGTTCAGAATGCATGTCGATGCCAGTTTACAGCACTATCCACGTAAATATGCGACTCAAGCATATCAATAACTAATATTCATGTTTTGTTCTATATTTAACTTTATATAATAATACTCCACTCCTTTATCGAGTATCGATATTTGTATAAGTTATATATATGAAGTGGTCATAAATTGTGTACTTTGTAATTGTTAAAACATTGTGTTTGTACCCCCCTCTGCTGTACACACTCACCCACACATGCAAATTTGTCATGTTTTTATACTGTTTCACTGAGCATATTTTGTCTTGTCACTGTATTTTTACTTGTTCAACAATTATTATGCAAACACTCAATGATCCGACACTTCCCTTCAATCTTTCCCTATTTTCTTTCCCTCCCTATTTACTATCATTTCCTCTTCTAATTTCTTAGAGGTAAAATCTGTGCACACACAGACAACCTCTCTACTCTTTTAATGTAATGTAAGCGTAACAAATCTTGGTAGCTTTGTTCTCTCAATAGTTTGGGGTTTTGTTATCACTATGATGACAATTGGTTGGTTTGTGCCAGTTTTGCCCCAAGTGGACACTGCATGCTATTCATCGCATCAAACTTATAGTAGATTAAGGTTTTAGTTATTTAGCAAAAGGTATGAATCTGAGGCTAGATTTTTTAATTTTATTTTTGAATGAAAGTGTGATTTAAATTTTAATCTAAGTCCATCACCAAACGATCGCCTAAATATCGGGCTATAGTACGGCTAATTAAATGATTGGAATATAGTAATTTGACACTAGAGGTAGACGTTAGGCGCCATCTCTTAAGTAAATTACTTAAGAGATTATAGCCGATATTTAGGCGATCGTTTGGTGATGTATTTACTACTCGGGCTATGAGTTGTTGATATTTATATATATATTTAATCTAAGTCGTTAATAAGAAGCAGAAATACTTCAGAAGTGCATCATTTGTTACTTTATATTGATTATTTTACACAGAACAAAAAAGTGTTGACATAAGTAGTAATTAAAATGCAGTTTCAAATACCAGATACCATAAATTTAAGTGGGTGTTAGTATAGTATGTCTCCAAATGAGAAAAATGTAATCCCTACAATAGACTGTCTCCATGTTAGAATGTTTTTACATTTTAATTATTTTTAATTTTTAGAAAAATTTTATTATAGAAAAAAAAACAAGAGAGTTTTGATAGAAAAATATATATATAAAAAAAAATATCATTTAATGGCAAGTCTGCATGCATATTTTTCACCAATACTCACAATTTTACACCAATACAATACCAATAAAATAATTTTTTATTTTTTTAAATAAAAATAAAGACCGATACGTTGCCATAAGTTTTCTGGCCATTATTTTTATTTTTCTGAAATGAAAAATTAAAAATAAAGAATAAAAAATTCTAATGTGGAGACAGTACTGTATAGATTAGATTTTTTTTCTTGTGTGGAGATGTGCTATATTAATATCATTTAAGTGTAACTTTCTTGTTATTATGAAATGACCTTTAGGAATAGAATGGAATAAATAGTATGATTTTACAATTCTCAATGCAGTCAGGTGACAAAATTAAGGAAGTTGACATTGATGACAGGTTCTACCAGTTATCTGTTTTTGGCCTTGACAATTGACAGAGATGAGGTGATCGAGGCTGTTGTTGTTTTTGAGTCACCCGTGTGCAAAGATCTTTAATGTTATTTTCTTTGCAGTTTAATAGCAACATGATTATTTGTGTAATATTTATCGAATTAAATAATATGAAATATTGCTTTTTTTGGCACAATTACATTACAATTACATAATTACTATCTGCCATATTACCTGAAGAAGACGGTTATATACTGTCGAAAGTACGCGTCGATTAAATGTATTTACCCATAATGGGCAATAGACAGTTTTTAAAGTTATCTGTTATTAATAAGGGGCATCCCTTGTTGTTTTTCTCATTAATTACACTGCTAATATATATGTGATAGAATTTGTATTAAATTCATTTTTATGTTTTAATGTAAATTGTACTTGTTTTTATTACCATAAAATTAAAAAGAGGATCTTTACATAATGCTATTTTATACTTTGAAACTGCCAATTCCTGTTGTTTTTATTGCTGTATATGGGCTTTCCCAATTTTGCCCAGAGGTTTTCTATAGGTTTAAGCTAGGAGACGATGCTGGGCATTCCTTAACTTGCACACACATTTTCTAAAAACCACTCAAATGTTATTACTTTCCCAGCTGTTATGTAACAAGGGAAAATACTGTAATCATATAAAATTTGACCCTTTAGGTTTTTTGCAAATCTTGATGTTTTGAGACCTCAAATGCAAAAATGTAAAAAAGAGGGGAAAAATTCCTCTTTGTGTGTGTGCATGCATGCATTAGAATATATTTCATTTAATATCTCAGGATGGGGTAAAGATTAAGAAACAAAATTTGGCATAGTAACTCATATATATGGTGCATCAATGCTATTAAGTTTTGGAGTACAGAACTTTGGGATGGGGTGATAAAGGAGGGTGTGTATTGTATCTCAGTTGGGGTAGGACTTAATGAATATTTAACTCGTTATTGGTGTTTACAATATTTTAAAAAATTCATCTCTATTCTTGAAATTAAGCCTTTTTTTATTATTAGGCAATTCCTTGCTGGATTTTTTTAACAGTATGGATTGGAACATTGTGTTGTTGAAAGATCCATAAGGGGTTGTCAGTTTTTTTCATCAAATAGAAAGATGATTTTCAAGCAAGATTTGATAAGCGATGCCCATTTATTCTACCACTAACAATGGCAACATTATTTTCACCCAAAAGCCCAAACTATAATGTTAATTCCTCTTTCCCACTTCTTAGAACGTATTTGCTCTTCTCTTCTTAGATTGTGCCAGTAGTATTGCAAACCATCTGAACCATCCAAATTAAACTTTTTTCATCACTAAACACAATGTGTTTCCATCTGATGGTCAGGGACATCATTTTTTTCCCTCTAATTCAATTTGATAGTAATTGACAAGTTTTGCAATCACCTTATGCTTGCTGAGAAATATTTATTTATATTGTCACAAATGTTTTCAACGTAAATTCTATATTGTCATATTCAGGTGTAATGGTGTATCTAAATGTGTTTTAAGTGGAACATTTGAACATATATAATTTAAACATACAAAACACAGAATACAAAAACCTAAAATGAAATAAAGAAACAACAAATTAAAAAAATATAATGGCACAATGATGGATTTGTATGCAAAAATTTACATGAAATGAATTGTTCACTAGCCTATGTAAATAACTATGCATCTTGATGAATAATTTGTTAATTTAGACGGAAATTGTAATTGCTGCCTGTATAGTTTTGACAGAGAAAAACCCATTGGATGCCAGTAAATAAATTTATTACAGGAACAAACTTATTTCATTGATTTCAGCATTTTTTATAAAACCCCTGAAATAAAAAAGAACTCATTTTATTGATCAAATACATAATTGTAGTATTTTATCAACTAAAATGATTGCCTATATAATTACACAACTACCTTAGTACAGTACATAATATAATTACAAAATTTAGATAAAAAGTGCTATTCAACAATAATAATTGAAATTTTCTAAATAGTAAAGATTTCCCTTTTTGTTTTCAGTTATCTTTTAAAATCTAGGCAAAATATTATTGTTTTTCATAAAATTTCTTATTTTATCCTTTCAGTTATTTCCTTTCAGATTAGGACTTTAATTACAAGAAAAATTTCATAAAGATTTATCTATTTTTTTTTTCTTCTTTTATTAGCTATTTTATTAAAGTGGAAAATTTTAATTGTGTTTTTATATATTACAGAGCTTGTCTAAAGATAGTGATTCTTTAATTCAGAGTGATGTGTACGGTAAAGAAAAATACGATTCGAGATCAAGGTATGAAGTTTTCCTTCTAGCTAATAATTTACAATACTGATTTTTATAGGTAAAATGACTTTAAAGAGATATATTACAATCTTAATATTTAAAATGAGATCTCCAAAGTTTTGAGCTATTGGTTTTATCTTTAAAATACTTTTGATAGTAATGTTTTATAGATATTGGAGACTGATGCGAGAAATAAACATTTTTGAACATTTTATATCGACGAATGCATGAGCTTCTAATCAATTTAGATGCAGCTGTGGAGATTGATCGCACAAAAACAAAAGAGCCAGTGAGTTTGGTGATGCTGCTAGTCAAATTTTGATGTCAGTAGCCAAAAGGTATAAGCAACCCTGGCTTGTGGCATCGTCAAATCTTATTTGTGTTGCCAAATTCCTCATCCCATCTTTTGAGAGTTCTACTTTCGTTTGGTCACCCAGATTTATTTGTTGTTTGTTAATGATTGTATATAGATATTATTTTTAAATATATTATAAATTTTATTTAATAGTAGAAAAATTTGGTTTATTGTTTCAGTTGGTGGAAACATCCAAAAGTAAAAGAAAATTGGAAAGTTATGTTGGCAGCATTTGGCCTTCTATTTATCGGTTTAGGTAAGTAATGGCAATTATTTGATTTATTAAAATGAAACATTGGCCATCTTGACAACTGCTACTAAATAACTGGTTATTATTATATAAAAATCAACACAACAAACACCTAAAATACCAGTGAGAATATTGTGCATGTTTGTCAAACCCCAGTGTTTATCACAACAGTTTGCTTGCCTGACGATGTCCATTTAACATGGACGAACTTCACACTTTGAAACGTTCACACTTTGTGTTTAATATTCTTGCTGGTATTTTAGGTATTTATTGTGTTGATTTTTATGAAACATTGGACATAAATTAATTCTCTGAAATAATTGTACAATCAATTTATAAAGTATTTCTTTTGCAATTGTACAATACGACACAATTGTTATTCTGGTTGAATACGTAATGGCAAGCAAATTGTCTGTTTAATTACTGTTTACTAGCAAATATCTATTGTTTTATGCTTTTTAATCATTATTGTTTGTTTTTATGCATTATGTATTTTATTATTTTTATTATAAGTTTATTTTTTACTTGAAAATGGTTGTTAATAAGTAAGCCTGAGTTTATGGTGATGTTAAGCTATTCACATATCATTTTATTGCAATTATTTCTGTCACATTTACCTACATTGATTTTTTTAAGGCACTCAGAACATTTCAGAAATTTATGAGTGCATTTACAATTTTCTTAGTTTAAAATTATCTGTGTTTTGGTGTACTAATGTTGCAGCAATGTTAGCAATGATCACATCCTTTTTATCTCTGTTGATGAGACCATTAGCAAATGACTGCACTAACACTAGCAACATATTGCCAATGATGTATAGGTCCGTTGTCATTTTGATTAAACAAAATGGTGATGACCATGGTCAATCATTACATTTATGTACAGAAACCAATAGTATGAAAATAAGACATAAGATTTTTGGAAATAGATTAAATCTATGAAACAATATAGGAATACATGTATCAATACATGTTCTGTTTCTGAATATATATTCAGCATTTTTTATGAAACCCCTGAAATAAAGTAAACTCATTTTATTGATCAAATACATAATTGTAGTATTTTATAAGAACATATACAAAAACAGAACATGTAATGATTGTACTTTATCTAGTTAAATAACCATAATATTTATTAGTGATGCAACAAATATTCGGTTACTATTCGGTATTCGGCTGAATACCAAATATTTAATCACTATTTGGCCGAATACCTAAAAACAGGAGTAAGAAATAACAAAAACACTGTAAATTAATCATTTTGGTATTTAGATTTAATGTTATCAGGTTAGTGTTGTTTGTTTATATTTATTTATAACTTATAACATGTAGAGAATAAAAAAGAAAATATTAGTCACATGTATTCACAATTTATAATTACAAATATCAGCACATGTACAGATTCGAGACAGCTTGATAGCCCGAACGGTCCCAGGCTTTCACCCGTGCACGCTAAGTGACTTTCATTACAAGCATTTATCTTTCCAAAGTCTATGACGACAATTGTTTGGCATTGACGGCCGCAAGTTTTGTATCAATAAGCTACTTCGACTTGTTCGATTATGTTATCAACTCAATTTTATATTTATTTTCACATTTTCACTTCACAGCCTTTCTCTGTTCTTTTTCCCTTATTTACACTTGTAGGTCATTTCATTGTTATTCACATTTGATATCATCATTTATCACATACTGCCATGACACTCTTGTCTGTCCGCTAAAGTTGTCAAGAATTAACGCAACTGGCAAAGCGTAGTGACATTGGGCCAATAGAGAGCAGGGTCCTTGCCATAATGTGGTTTGTGCGCCAATTTTCATACGTGCGTTAATCAAGCCGAATATTCGGTATTCGGCCTGAGGCTGAATATACTATTCGTTACAACACTAATATTTATCTAAATGCAATTTTAATATTTAGAATATTTTTAATTTAAATTGCTGATTTATGATGATAAATCATTGAAACTTAAATACTTACATTTCAATATGTTGTCTTTCAGAGATTTATTTTTAGAATAGATTTTAGGAAATTCACCTCTTAAGGTGATTATCCTAGGAAGAGAATGGTCTATATTCTCAAATTTATTGTGAATTATTATTGATGCTATTATATAATAGTTTTTTATATAAAGGGTTTATAGATAGATTGTTATTTATATAATATAATGAAGCATAATTGAAAATACACAAAAATAAACTGGAACTACAGATCGCTTGGAAAATATAAAACACCTTTTACTTCTAGCATAACAAATGAAAGTTAATAACTTCTTTGACTTCGTTTATATGCTTTCATTAGGCTACATTTTGCACAAAATATGTTTTGAACTTCAAATATTCTAAGTAGAATACATTCAAAAGCTGGTTGTTCTAGACTAGGGGTCCCCAAATTTTTATCCCATCAACCCCTTCATAGAATATTTGCCTTCTTATCGACCCCCACATTAAATATTTAACAAAAACATTAAATCATTTTTTGCATTTCTGATGTTAAGCAATAAGAAGACCTGCATAACAACCCAACGAAAGAATTTATAGTTTTCATATCTTATAAAATCCACTCAATAACATTAACAGAAAAAGGAGATATTTTCCACTGATTTATAACCTTAAAAAATAATAGCAAAATTATGGATAGATGGAAATTTGCTTATAGTTCTTAAACTGTACGTGTCATAATACGTAAAATATGTTATGTTTTCAAAGATAATTGTGTAAATTATATTGGATGAAAAAACCTCTTACTGCCATTTTGCGACTACTACTGAATACCTTAAAAATATGTTAACATACCTTTTTATTAAGTAGTTGATATTAGTGGGATGGATGTGTCTGAAGAGAAGCAGCAAGATTTTTGATATTCGGTAAGTTTTAGCCTCAAATCACCATGGTATCCATGTTTAGTCTGTTCCTCTGTTTTGTCATTCGTGTGGCTAAAACCAGCTTCGACCATGTATGAAGTTTGAAATGCAAGTAAGAAAGGACTGGCTTCTGCTCTGAGCTTGGGATATTTAGTGGAATATTATTGTTGCTCCAAAATTCACTGATGTTTTTATTTTTACAACGCTTTAGCTTTGAGATCTACACATATTTCAATCAGTTCGTCTTCTAAGCCAGGTTCACTACCTTCATTATCTATTTTTACATCAAATGGATTAGCAAACCATTTGGGAACATGCATATTCTCCAAGTCTTCGAAGCGTGCTTTAAAGTCTTCTCTTAATTTATCAAGATGTTTAATATATATCTCCAAATCACAGTTGGAAATCTTTTCATTTTCTTTCAGTACTTGCAAGTTTGAAAAATATTTAAAATCGGATCATGCCGGTGAAGATTTAAATAGCTCCATTTTTACTTGAAAGGCCATTATGATTGTTCGAGCTTGAACAATTGTAACATTTTTTTCCTTGCAAATGCTTCTGTACTATATTAATGATTTTTGATATATTACGCTATTTTCTCTGTAAAGGACAAAATATCTACATTTAGATATAAAATACTTAGAGTGACAACCCTACTAGAATGTAACAGTGCAATGTATGTCTGTGTATAATGAACTACCAGCATTCATAATATGTTTGCAACACTAGTACAGTTGCCAGATGCGTGAAAACAGTAACACATGCTTAAAGCAGCGTAGGCTAAGGCAAAACTCAAGTTATAACTAGGGTAGTCAGTAATGTTGATCATATCCGTATTTCAACTTTTTATTGGAATACAGTGGTACCTCGGTATATTTCTGCTTTAGAATACGTCCAATTCGGAATACGTCCTGTCTGGACGAAACAAGTTTTGCTCAGTATATAACTTTTGTTCGGTATACAACTTAATTCAATTATACACGCTATCTATGAACAAGTAGCACTATTGGTGTACTAGACCAGACTAGACATTCGCTGTGCCACAGTTTATAACTTTGTTAAATTTCTTCTGATTTTAATTTGTAAGTAAAATTTTATTATTTTTATTAATCATGAATTACAAAAAGGCAAGTGAAAAGCTACAGAAAACTGAAAAAAATGACTAGAATCACAATGGAACTGGAAAAAGAGATTGTTGAGAAATATGAAGGTGGCATGCGAGTTCGAGATTTTAACTGTTGCATATCGTATTCCGAGAACGACGATATCGACAATCGTGAAAAAGAAAGACATTATTAAGTCTGCTAACGTTGCAAAAGGGGTTAAATCAATTTCTAAACAGAGATCGAAGACATTAGATCATGTTGAGAAATTGCTTTTGCTTTGGCGAACTGAAAAACAGTGTGCTGGAGACAGCGTATCAGAAGCAATTATTTGCGAGAAAGCTAAAAAGATACATGCTGATCTCGTGAAAAATCAAGCAGGAACTAGCCAGGAAAGTGAAGTGTTTAAAGCCAGCCATTTTTTTACATGAGAATGGATTAATCATTTTTACATTACTTCTTATGGGAAAGGTTGGTTTGGTATATGTCCTGTTCGGTATAAGTCCAAACATCAGGAATGGATTAATGTTATATACTGAGGTTCCACTGTATTTTATTTTTTTCCTAGACAGTTTAATTGACCCCCTTTCGACCCTCATGTATTAATTGACCCCTGGAGAACTCTTATCAACCAATTGGGGACCCCTATTTTAATCCTCTAAGGTCAGACTGGATTTCTCATCCATAACAGGGATCCTATACATTTCAGGTGTGTTTATCTTAAATTATTGCAGAACAAAGGGCAAAATGGTTAAGTTTCTTGTTGTAGTTAACCGTGATGTGTATCACAATCTCTATGTGAATGAAATAAATCCTATCTCTACGTATCTTTGAGGAAACGGTTTACGTCATAAAGTTATGTAGAAATAGAATCTATTTAATAGAAACTTTTTCTACAATTAGATCAGATCATTAGATATTTGCTTTAAAAAACATTATATGTCAGTTATTAGGATTAATTGCAATTGCACCACTTTGACACAATGGTCACATGACATTAAAGTTTTTTGGAACAATCTGATGTTAATTTATGAACTAAGAGAATTCTGTCCAATCAGTCTGCTAGAACAGATGGTATATTTAGAGAAAATGCAAATACAGTAGTACCTCAGGATACAAATGCTTCAGCATATGAAATGAAATTTGAACATAGTTTTGCTGTACAGTACGAACAAAAACTCACCGTACGGCATTACATTAGTTTGTAGTGCCACCACCACAATCACGTGTTCCTTCTGTTCATCAGTCTCAGTCCATATGTTTGCTTCGTCGTGGAAGGATCTCACTCGATAAAGGAAATCTTGAGGTATTATCAGAAAGTGACTGATTTTATTGAAAAGAAACATCCCGAAAAGGTTCACACTGGCCGTATTGCTGCTCGGAGTAATGACATTTGCCTAAGTCATTTTAGAAACATTTTAAAAAGTAGGCAAAGCCAAACCTCTTTGGATAGATATTTTACCAAATGACCTCTATACAGTGAAAGTGCTGGTGGAAGTGAAGGAAAGAAAGCAAAAAGCAGTGAATAAAAAATTTTAAAAAATATATAAAACAGAAAAGATAAAAAAATTTAGTGTTAAGTTATTTTTAAGCTATTGTTACATTATGTTATGTAAGTTAAGTTTTAGTATCATTTTCCTTCTCCCTTTCCTCCGCCACCAGTTTACACCTCCGCCGTTGTCTATTCTCAAAGGTAAAGTGCAAATAAAACTACATTTTTCTTAATCAATTATTCTATTATGGTTATTTATACATTTACAACCACAAAATGCATTTTTCAGTGTTTTCTTTACTAAAGTTGTTTTTTTTTTTTCAATGTACTGTACTACTAAGCTTCAATTAATTATTAAGAGTGTGTTTTTTGTGTTGGAATGGATTATTTGGTTGTACATGTAATCATATAGGGGAAAATGATTCACCTTAAAACATTTTCATGATACGATCTCAGTTTAGGAACGGATTAATTTCGTATCCCGAGGTACTACTGTATACAATGTAATTAATGCCTAGGATATTTTTTCAATTAGAGAACGTGTGGAAAGGAATAATTGATGCACAGAATATTTGTAATTTATATAAGAAAATTAATAAACTTATTTGATTGATAAAATTATATGTACAGTATTTAATATGTTAATTGTTACTAATTATGCCATTAAAAACTCTTCTCTGATTGATTGGTTAATTTTAAAAACTACTCTATGTTGTTTCATTCTGTTTCTATAGCAGAGGACATCCTAATATAGGCTGAAATAATTCATTAATACAGAAACATGTTCAGTCTTTATTAGGCCGAAAATGTTTGTATTAACAAATTCTTTCGGCATCCTTATTAAACAGGTACATTGAATTTATATTTATGGTTTTTATCTTTTATTAAAAATGAGAACATTATATAATTTAAGTAAAAATTTTCATGTAGATGTGAATTCTATAAAGCATGCATAATAAAAATTCCTACAAAACTAATTGTAGCATTTTGCCTTAATATTTAAAAAAAAAATTGTAGCTCAATGAATGTAGTGAATTTACTTGTAATCTTGCTTAATTAATCTTGTAATTAATGAATTTACTTGTAATCTGCTGATTATTGATTGCTGATGAAAAATATTGTTATAATTAAGTTTGATGTAAATATGGGGTGTGAATCCAAATTTTTGAATTTTTGACATTTATTAGTGACACACCACTTCATTATCTGTGAAGTGTGCCAATAACTTTTCAGATATTTGAGCAATATTTAATACACAATTAAATCACTTAGTGAAATGCTACTTTGGAAATTCAATACCCCTATGTTACAGAATGTCTTGTCGGACATTTTGTGATCAATTTGCAGTGCAAATATGAAAATATTTTTGCATTTTATGAATTATTTTAGCTTCTGCAATGAAATATTTTACTTTGTAAGTAATTTATTTGATGAAAATAAGCATATAAAATATCTTGTTTAACATATTTATATACCATCTGATATATATCTTGAATGCATGTGATTATTATTGTTTTTTAATATTTATATTTCATAAATGAATCAATGTACCAGTATTATACATTATACCAGTATTATAGAGATTAAAAATACTTCACAGTATAAATTTATTTGAATAAATGTGTATTTTAAGATGTAAGAACAATATTAATCTCTCTTATTCTACCTTTTAGGTTTACTTATCACTGGTGTTGTAGTTCAAGTTTTACCCGATATGGGTAGGTTACAATTTTAAATATAGTAAAAGTTGATAAAATTTAGGAATACAACAAATTAGTCTAATATACCAAATAATTGTAATTATATAAACAATTTCTAAGCTCAAATTTGTTAATATTAGTCCACGTACCAAATTAATGAACTTACTGGGTTTTTAATTAATGTAGTACTGGATTGCCTGACTGGTAATGAAATTTCATCATCTATATACTGTGCAGAAGCATTTCTTAGATTATTAGACACTATTTAATTTTAAATTATTAATTATTGATACAAGATGACTATCTAACTGTCTGTTTTTAGATCAAATTGCCATTATTTAATTAAATTTTAGAGCAAATGTAGCCTTACAAATCTAGCAGATAAGTATTTGGATTAATATTATATCTATAACAAAATAAGTTATAAGTATTATATTTATGATTACATTATAGGTGAGGAGGAGAGAATAAATTTTTGACCCAAACCGTCTGCAAATAATTACCTCGACTCGATTTGAACTTGCATTCCCCAGAGCAGTGGGACAATACCTTACCATTTAATTAGGTTAACCATTAATGTAATTACCTATATATAACATATGATTACATAATATACATATTTAATGTAATATAATTACTGTGACTAATGTGATCTAATGCAGACAATCATTCTGTTTGTAGCAGACAAAAGCGGTCAATTGTGTAATAAGCTAGGTTATTACAAATTACATTAGAAATTTTAATTTTTTTTTTCAGAATAGCTTTTTTTTAGTTATTTCAGAGAAGTTTTCAATTATTAACAAAATAATTATGCATAAACTTTTATTTGTTTAAATTATTATGGAAACGATACAACAAAATTTCAAATGAGAAATAGATTTATTTTTACAATCTCGTCTCTACGGAGTTTTCCTCAAAATATTTTGAAATCATTTTCGGGTCTTGCGTGTCTTAAAATGTATTCAAAATTTGTTTTATTCGATCGTCGTCATTTTAATTTATATAAAACTGGCACTTTACATCAGTAAGCATCTTAAGCACCCATTTGCGAACACTGTACAGACCAGAAAGTCCCTAAATCAAAGCAGTCTAACCCATCTAAATAAGATTGCATAATATAATATTTTAAAAGTACTTATAATTTCAAAATCTTTAATATATAAAATATTCTAATTAAAACTGTATTTGTGAAGATTTATTTAGTCTTTAATAGATGTTATTTTAATCATCAATTAATTAATTTAGAAATATCAATTATAAAAGGTGTGATTTATTTAGTCAGGTAAAGTTGCTAGGATAATTAAGATTAGATTATCAAACACAAATTTCTGTTTAAAATTTCTATTTATTATTATTGTTTTCACACAATGAATACTACTTTTAGGGGTTCAAAGTTTCGTGTTTTTCATTGCTGGTGCCATCTGTTTTATACCAGGAGGTAAGAAAATTTAGTTTATGAAATTTTGTTGTTTTGAAGTATTAAATTTATAACAACATTAAATTATAAATTACTATGTACACATAACAATACAAAAATCTTAAGAAATGATGAAGAATAAAATACAATAATTGAGTACAAAGTCTTCAGAACAAGTTAGAAGATTTAACCATTATCACTTCTTTGTTCTCTGTCTGCCATTTACACTAAGATCCTAACAAAGAACGTGGACATTATGTTGAAATATTTTTAAAAACGATTTATCTAACATTATTATTACTAAAAATATATGTTACCAACAAAACAGTATTTTTCTCTTCTTTAAAATTACAAGGTGAAATTTAAGGGGTGTTTATATCAGTGCAGTTGTTAAATATCCACTTTCCATGGACCAATACGTGGCGCCATTAAAGTGTATAACCTATTAGTTAATTTATCCGTCAGTTGTTAAGGTAGTTATGTAAAAGTAAGTACTTTTGGAATATATCTTGACATTCCGTTACAAAGAGAGACTGGTTTAAGTTGTAACAGTAGCTGTACAGGAGATATCCGTCCTTTTTGCCCAAGCTTCCACTCTCCTATATCCGTTTTAAACTTTGAAGGTAGGGTGTTGGAAATTCCGAAATCTTATTCGATGGAAAAAGTCATTTTTAAAACAATAGTCTTTTGATCTATTTTGTCATTGGGGCATTAAGTATCTTATAATTATTTTAAAGAATAAAATGTACTTAATATTTATTTGTTTTTATAATTTTGTTCACTTACAAGTGTGTAAACTCCCGTTTTTGGTGGAGACTTGTCTATGAATTTCTCGGGTTTTAACGTATAAATGTTTGATGCCCTAATTACATTTATATAAAGTTTTTGAAGGATTTTTATTGGTATTTTTCTAATTAATTTTTCTATATTTGCAGCTTATCACGTGGTGTACGTCTACTGCGCAGTCAAAGGAAAGAAGGGATACGATTTCTATAATTTACCCCTTTTTAACTAATTGTATATACGAACCGTTTCCCCCTAAGTAAACGTGACTTTGGTTTCCTACATAATTTGTACATTGTGTATGATAGTGCCATACGTTACAAGATTATATTGCACGCACCGATCTGTTTTCGTTTTGCCACGTTCCCATTGATTTGTGTAATCGCGGAACGTTTATCCATAATCAAAACTAATTTTCGTATCGTGCGCCCGGGCGACTTTCCTAACGAGTTCAGTATTAACGGGTGCGTCCGAACCTTCTGTGTAAAGACAATTGGCATTATTATATTATCGTAATAGCAATTCTGGTCGTCGAGGACGAAATTTGTTTCGCTTTCTACGTAATTTGGCATTAGCCGTAGAATTAGCCGACGTAAAACTTAATCGCACGCAACTTCACGCTGACAATTGTATATAATTTACTATGGAAAGTGTCTTTGTTTTTAACCGTGTTTGTCATACATCTGTATATTCACGTAACCGTAAATAAACTTTTTTATTATTGTTTAATTTCGGTGGTTGCGCCGTTGCCCAATGCGAAAATTTGGCCATCCAAAAATTGCCGTGTTTTACGTAACACGGGTGGAGACTTTTGGACTGCCAAATATGCCAATGCGTCCTTGCTTTTGTAGGTGCGGACACTGAATCGGAGCACCCTGTCTGCTTTTCGAGAACAGATTCGACGGGGCTTACTATTTATTGAGTAGCCATTTTAAACCGGTTTGTTAAACCAGTTCAAAATGGTTACCAGTTTAACTTTCAGATTCACAGAAAGCCACTACGCCACAATTGTGTTACGTAAAAGTACTGCGGAAGTCTGGGCAACTACACGTAGTGTCCGTACCCCGTATACAATTAAAATAGGAGCTGGCACTAAGCGTGAGGTTAGATCCTTTCCTCCATTTCCTTGCAATTCTGGGGGTTAACGTATCTAAAGCCGCCTTTAAGTAGTTAAAATCGTTTACGGAAACATGTTTAAGCAAGAATAACTCGAATCTTATCGCCGTGTTTACTTATTTCGCAAACTTTTTGCCTGATTTGCATATTTGGCAATCCAAAAATTGCCGTCAAACAAATTGTTTATGCCACTTTTCGTGTCGATGCTCCTCAGTTTTTGACCTTATACCTCGATATCTCCGAGATATCGAGGTATAAGGTCATAAACTGGAGTTAAGTATACGTAACAATTGTTTTTTTACTCGTATATAACGCCGATTCTTCCGTAAGACGAGTGGAAAAAAGCATTAATCGGAAACCGGGCTCCATACTTTATAAATATGAAAAAATATAAATTGTTTTGATAGAAATTATCGGATGTTTAATGGCCGTTTAACCCCGGATGCGTGGTTTTTTGTGTCGTGCCAACTTTCAAACACTGGGCTCTTTAATGCCTCGTTTGTGTGTCAAATGTTTTTCTAAGTTCTGGTATCGTTAGGAGGATCTAACTCCCCCAAAAATATAAGTGAATCTTAGCCAGGATACGGAAGCGCGTGCGGCAATTGAAGGCATCCTCTGTTAAAAGTATTGTTAGAGAATCTTAGTTACGGGGTTTTTTACTGTCCGGCGTAGAAACTTATCGATTGTTCCGCAACGAGTACTACACTGACCGACAGGATACTAATGCACGTAATTCCGCGTTATATTGGGGTTTATACGGGGTTGCGTAGGAGCGCCGTGGCCAAAAATTCGATGTACGATAGGCGACACCCGATTAAATCCGAGACGACTCGCGCCATAATTCTGGAAAGGGGGAGGCCGCGGCGTTAAGTCAGAAGCGTCAGAGTTTGATAAAGTGAAACGGGACCACCCCGCCCGTGTCAGCGCGCATACATCATCCCGCTCCTTCTTTAATTATGACGTTGAAACGACTCCAAAGACCGGGCAATTAGCCGAGTGTAAGATGTCTTCGGGACGAGGAAGAAGCGATAAGTTCGGCCACCCCCGACGAAGGCGCAACACCGTTCACGTTGGTCCTCTTATTAAAATATCCTCTAGACGAGGTTGTTGACACGGAGGAAGAAAGTATGCGCGACTGGTGTAAGTCTGCGAGACAGTGGATAACGTTAGATAAACAGATCTGTCAAGTTCTGATGTATACGACCCCGTGTTGAAGTAAACATCCCCGCTAATGGCGGACGAATAAGAGGAAAACCTACTCTTCCTCCGACCCACCGTTTAAAAAAAATGCCACTAAACCGAAATCGCCCCGCACGTAACTCGGTAATTACGCGTCAAAAATTACCGGGCCCGGCAGAAAGACCACGTAACTTATCTTCCCGTTACGGAACTGGTGCGTCCGTGGCATCGCTGTATAACGAAGCGCGAGACCTTTGGTTAATTAAACCATTGTTACGCGCCTTTATTAACGTGTCTCGCGGCGATAGTTTCATCGTTACGCTTATTTTATGGAATTGTTGCCATTCCACTGTTAGCAGAATTTTATTTCGTTGCGCTTCTGGCCGTAAAAGTAAAGCGAATATTCATCGAACGAGTTCGATTGGTGGGCGAGTGACCAATCGAACGTCTTGTTTGGATTATAGGTAGCACTTTTTATCGTTAAGAACGGCGATAAAGGTTACTAATCTTAACATATTAAAATAAATACTGCGTAATACGAGATTCGACGAGAATAAAGTTCGATATTCACTTAGATCTTTCGGATGTCCGCTGGATTAGGTTACGTTTGTAGTGTGACAGCCCATTGTGGCGTGGATTTTGAGTGTGAAAATTAAATATAGAAGCAGCAAATCGTGATTTACAAAATGCAATTACGAAAGACTAACGTCACTTTCGATTGTCCGAAAAGAAACGTGTTTCGATTATCCTCCACCAGGTGGCGTTATCGTTAACCGTACGGCGCGAAGGAACCAGCCGATTAAGATAGAATATAACAATATTTTACTCAAAAAAATACATTTCTTGTCAAATTTATCCCCGCGCGGAAACATCCGCGTTTAACTGTACAGAAGTTGAGAGTTTACCCGACTCGACACCCCTCATCTGGGGTTGTATTCGTAACTGTTCTGTCTCGTTCGACTGGGGTAGAGGCCGTTGTAGTTAGGGGTGGAACCGTAACCCGTGTAAGGCGCTTGAGGACGCGGATAGGGGCTGCTCCTAGTCTTTACGGGGTACACGTAGTTGTCGTAGGTCGGGCCGTAATTGCACAAATCCGTGGCGTAGGGCTGGTTGACGGAACACTGCGACTGATCGGGACGTGGCACGTGCAAACCGGGCGAAACGGGGACGTTGTTCATCCTGGAAAACAGAGGGTTGGTGGAGCCGGGATGTTCCTTCTCGTCATCTGCAAACAGAGAGAGTCAGAACCCAAACAGCATAGAAAGCGGTCACCTTTCCGCTTACCTTTCTCCATCTTGCCGCCAAAGGACGACGCGGGACTCACGGGCAACAGCTGAAGAGAAGTCGACCTGTGTTGACCCCTGTGTCTCTGAGCCGGAGGGAAGTAAGTTAACATCTCGACCACGCTCGAAGATATCGACCTGCGAAAGTTTTACAAATCGCAATTATCCAACTTAACTCGTTAAGTAATTTACAACCGGTAACGTTCTACATGTGGCGTAACTTTCCCGACCTTCAACTTTCCGGGTGCCACGCACGTAAAACGGGTCGTAGGTCAGTAGTAACAAAAAGGGTCGGCGATAACGATTATCTTAATCGTTTTATTAAGCGGTAAACATATACAATTAAGTGTTGTAAAAAAGTAGGTCAAAATCACTTCGTATCGAAAAGATCTGCACCCTTCGTCCGAGGGTATCGTTAGGTGCGCTTCGACGGGGTGTGGAAATTAGCGCTTTCTACGCCACTTCGACGGAGCGTAACGGTGTAGAAACTGTCATCGTTAGGTACCGTGCGAAGGGTGTCGCGTATTGACGCCTCTTAGCGGGTGGACACTCGAAGTTTGGGAATGCCGGGTCTAATGTGTACTGGCGGAGCCTCGTAACGCTACGCAACACACCCACCCGGATACAGAAAAACGCGTTACTAACGTCTACGCCGGCCAGTTTACTACCGTTAGACGCGCAAACTCTAAATGTGAATCAAAACTTTTGTTACCGAAGATAGCGTAACATACAAATTAGCTACTCTGGCAGAGCTCGTAACGCTAGCCAGATGACCAGAATCTATTTATAGATTGGCCAAGCTCATTTTTTTTATCACGAAATACGTCACACCGTGACACGCGTAGATATTCTCTCCCCGCCATCTTCGACGGTGATCTTCGTGCGGGCGAGAGACAATTTGCAAAGTTTTTTTTTTCCTTAGAAACACCAGAAACTATCGGTCGACTTATCTGGAAATTGATAGATCTCGCACACTACTAAGAGATAGCGTGTGTTTATCTTATGCAGCCAATGTTTATCTTATCCAAGGATCGCCGTTACGCTACTTATATAAGAGAATATTAACGTCGTAGAGCGTAACTAGCGAAAATTTCCATCGTATTACACCTTAAAAGTTACCTACTTAATCGGTTGCGACGGAGCGTTACGCGTCGCGACGTCCACGTCGGCGCGCGGTGTGGCCGGCGCGTAGACGCTAGTTACGTTTTATAGGGGAGGCGAGTAACATGGACTTATCTAGTGGCGGGGAGGGGAAGGAGAAGTTCGGCGGATGGTCGGACCACATGTGAGCTAGACGAGGATCCGGTTGACGCGGTCGCATCATTATTCACGTTGTCACTTTTTGTGTCGATCCCAGACTCTCACCTCGACGTTACCAGAAAAAGTAACAAAAATTACCATTCTTCGGGGTCGCAATCGCGGAAACCTTTAGCAAAAGGGTTGCTGGCGATCTTCAGCTGGGTGATCTGCAACAGTTTATAAAGTCAGAGGCGAGTTCCAGTGTAGAAACTACACCAAAAAAGTGTGTTTACGCACTCACCCTGTGGTTCTGATAGGCCGTTACGGCAGTAAATTTCGTCTCGGGGAAGATAAAAGTCTTGAAGTTCTCCGTCCTGGAAACGTCCTCCCCCTTGGGATTGATGGAGACCACGTGAAACCTGGGTTGATAACGATGCATCGAGTTCAGAATGATCTGTAAAAAAGTGACGCGGTGGACTATTAGTTACGCTTTACGGTTACGGAAACGATCTTTAAATCCCCGCCTTCCGAATTCGGGGGATTTTTACAAATTTTACTCCTAATTTTTGATGGAATTTCACTTAAAATCGAACGAATTTTAATAAGCTCCGCGCACAGATTTAGGAAGAATTTAGCTACGTCGGAGGGAAAAACGCCCAAAATTTCGACTTTTGGAGGATTTTCCTCCGAAACCGTTCGTAACTTAAGCGTAAATTCTTAAAATACGTCCACTTGTTTATCTCGAAAGAAAGTTTAGAGGGGCGAAGTTGCCATCTAGCTCGTGACAAATAGGAATTTTTCCAATTTTTCGGCCGAGTCAGAGGATCCCGAAGGCTAAATATAAATTTCTCGGAACGTTTATTATCCAAAATTTCCAGATCGAGGTGTTATTTTAGCACGAAAAAAAGGGGAGTCGCGGTGGGGGATGCTCTTATCATTTGTTCGACGAGTGCCGAGGGGTGACGACGTTTATTTTTTCTGTAGATAGCTTCGCGCGCCGTCTTTCGCGACTCGACTCATATAAGGATGCTTTTTAGCCATCGACATAATCCTACTTCGTCGCGTGTGTTACGCGGTGTAATCGGGGAGACTCGGCTTTCTAACTGTTACGCGGTGCAAGAAGAAAGAAAGCGTAACCTTCCGGCTGTTACGCCATTCCAAATCACAAAGTTGTTTCCGCGTAAAGGAGTAAAATTTGTACGTTTCGAGACACCCGATAAGGAATAAAATTCATCTCTCTAAACGTTACTTTATGTACAACGATATTTTTCTCGTAAGTTAGTCACAGAGAAATCCCAGTTCTTCTAATGTTACGTTGTATATAAATCGTACCGCGTACGCTAAATAAAAATTCACCCCCGTAATAGTGTACGAATGGCGGAAAGTTTGCTCGACCCGTTACGCGACGTCGGAACGAGTAGACTTAGTCTTTGTATAGGTTGGGCGCCGTACGAACCGAGAAAATGTTACTCTTAGACATTGTAGACGGATTTCAAACGGTGCATCGTCGGATAATTTAGAAGCGACAATGCGTAACAACTAAGAAAACAAACGTCCACGTCAGTTCTTCCGACCGAGCCCAGTTCGCGTGACGTCAACGTTATTCCAAATCTCGTCCGGTGGTGGTCTTTCGAGCGCAGCGCCGCGTAACCGGATCGAATTTCTAGTAGATTAGAGCCTCCGGAGGTGGTCCTCGGGCGCGAATTACGGGAAAAAATGGCTTCGACGATATTAATTATGAGAAACTCCGTACACGATTCGCCCCCGGAAGAAGCGTAACCGAGTCGTTCTTTAGTGACGCGAGCGTTCGTCGAAGCCCGTCATCCGACCGAAAGAGAAGTTTGACGAGTGACGAAAATTCGCACGCGCCGGTTCGATACGGCCGACCGGACTACAAATTTCCTAAATATAGATATATATTTTACGCGCGACGTCACCCACCGGTGGGTGACATCACGCGAAAACCTAAAAGAAGAAACGCCGAGGGTCCTCGAGATCGTAAAATTCCGTCACCACGCTATAAAGTTCACGCCCCGCGTGGCGGACGATAATGGCAAAAAACGTGATTTATCGCCGCGCGTTACGTCACAAATGTAAGCGCAAGGACAGTTTTACAAGCGAAGCGTCGTAAGGAGGTGTTCGAAGGCGTTTTACGAGGTTACGAATAACGCGACGCGTCTGCGAGTGCCACGAAGCGCAAAAACGCCCATGTTCGGTCTGGATCCATTTTAATCGCGCGTGTCGCACGATTTTGCGCCAGTTAGCAACGGCCGCGTAGAAAGAAAGCGTTACTTACGTGTCCGTTGTCGTCCAGTTGATTGTTGGTGAGTTTGAGCTTGTCGAAGCTCACCGCCTGCTTCATCCACTGCGTACCTTTGGCGGGAGAGTCGGGATGCACGTGGATCCTGGGCGGCATGTTGGGGTCGGCCTTCCCCGCCACGATCCAGCTGGAACTGCGAGACAAACGGTAAATGCGGAGGAGCGAGAAGAACGGACCGCGCCACGCGACGCGACGCGCCGGGGTGGGGATTAAATATAGTAAGGCGATAGGGTCTTATTTTTACAAGTATAAATTGCCATAATTTTTGGAGGAAGAAAAATCGGGCCCGGGGTTATATTTGGTATGTTTTAATGACGATTGACAGACCGAAGAAGCGTACCTAGTGGCATATTTCCGTCCGTCCCGGGGGTAGACGTTGGCAGAGGACCCGATCAAGACAAATAGGTAGAGTCGATTGGAGTGAATTGGCGAGGTAAGTAATTACTCGCCACACGCCACGCATCCCAGACAGCTGCCACCGACTCCAAATTTAACGCTGGCAAACAGACGCTCGTTATCCTCGGTTATTCCTCGCCATTTTTTTCTTTCCACTCTTATCGCCGCGTTATTTCGTTTTCTGGTCTTTTGGCTTCTTCCCGCGGCGGTAAGCCGACGTCTTAACCGCTTACGACAATCTACGGTTAACCCCCTTCTTTGGTTGGTGGCAATGCCGTTTAAGAAATTATCTGTTGTAGCGCCGTGGAGTGCGGAAGAGGCACTCGAGCGTAAATACGCGGGAGGAGTGTCGTCTCTAATTGATTGCTACGTCTGTATATTTATGCTCGAGTATATTCTATTGTGCCATTCCCGCATCCGTGGCTCCTCCGTCTACTCTCCTGTCGGCGTACGAATCTCCGCACCGTGTTCTACTTTTTTGTTTCCGTGTTAACGGCGAGCGTAAGCGCGATATTAGTCACTTACCTGTGGAAAGCGTAACGGTATCTCTTGTCGTCCACCGGCACAAAGTCCATCATCAGGATGTAGTCGGCTAGAGGGTCCATGCCGTACAACTTGACTTGGAAAGTGGGGAACATGCGCCTAAAGAAAAATAACGCGGTATTAGAAACAGAGTTGGTGAGGAGGAGGGAATTTTTCACGAGTTGGGTTAGGAAAAGGCGACGTACGCGTTTGACATATTGTCCGGGAGGATGGAACGTTGGCGAGTGCCATAAAGGTCGTTCCGGACCATCTGCATCCCTCCCTCTAGTTATCACTCACTCCACGCTTTCTCCCCCATCTAACCTGCTCTTATCAATCTTCTTAGCGCCAACTGTGCTTATTTGTGAAAGAATTTGTTACTCTTCTCGTTGCGCGGTTACCTGCCCGAGGTGAGTGATGTTTTTCGCGTGCACGGGCGAGAAACCATTTCCTTATTAAAGTGGACGTTAGTGGTGCGGCCGAGGAATTCGATCCGTGGTTCCCGCATTGTCCTCAGAAATGATTATATCGGGTCTTAACGTAGCTGGCTAACTCGACCTAGGATCCCATAGGGTGGGGATACAGACGTAACCAACGGTCTGGGTAGGATGCGAAGATTAAATCGGGCCACGTAGGACTTAAGTTCTATATTAGTCCTACACTATCGAATAGATTGGTCTAATACCGAGAGAAACGGGATCCTCCAATATACTTTCTATAGCGGTAAGGGTGTTTTCGGACGTGCCAAACGATAACTACCACCCCAAAGTAACGAAGAGTATAGAAAAGGTAGAAGTAAATTTTGGTAAATAGAGGAACAATTATTTGGGGAGTGAGAAATTGTGTCTGTGTAAATATATAAAACGTATATGGTGGAAAATTTACAGCAACAGTTACAACGTGAGGAATGTTTACTTTGACTTGTTGATGGGATGACCTTTCTCCCGGCTCCTTCCCCTCTCATTCCCTAGAAACGGAGCAAAGAACGGAGGAAGAGAGACAAGCCCACCAACACACCGTCGACCGTGCAGTCTGCAGCTTGACACCAGTCTAATTAATGAAGGAGGCTCTGTGTTTGGATAAGGACCTACTCCTGTAATCCGGGTAACACACACAACTTATTTATCACGCGTCAGCCGCCGTCCCGGAAAATAATGCATTCTCTCTCGTATCGAATGATAGCAATTAAGAATAAATCACTATTTGACTCGTCCCTGGTAACACGTGTGGTATTTATATTCTCCCGCCTCTTTCCAACAATTCTTTTTATCCGTTATCTGTTGGGTTTCGCAAACCTTAATCACCGCATCCTAGACAAGTATCGACCAGAGTTACGCCCGCCGTAACCGTGTTCTTACGAGTACCGGGGATAGACCTCGATCCCAGTTAATCCCGTAGTTTGCCAACTATTCCGTATCGCGTTACGCTTCCTAGAACGAGTCGAATCCGAGCGACGATTCATCGATAAGCATCGACACCTGTTACGGTATCTTTGCCTCCATCTTGCCGAGCTATGGCCGATTCCATTTATAAGTTAGCTTAATAGTTAATTGGAAGAGTAAATACGTGTTACGTAACGCGGGAGATATTTTGTTTTAACGATACAACCGCTAAACGGTAACGAGTTACGACGAAATTAGAGGTAATGCGATTTTCTACGGCGTAACAAACCGTTTCCCCGGCTTAACTAGCGTGTAAGGCAGTTCCGCGCCTAAAATCTGCCGCTCCCTCCCGTCAAAGAACCCAAAAATTGACTATTTTAAATACGAAATGCCCGAAAATTCTTAAGGAGATTTGTGTATTTTCCTGGGGTAAGAGGCGCGAGATGGCGATTTTCTAGCGTCGAAAATCACTCGAGGCTAAATCGCGACACACTTTTTCATTCATTGGATGCCCGGGTCGATAGACGCGTTAAAATATTTGGCAAGCGGCGGGTTGAGGAAAGACGAAACGATATTTTTCGGGAGTTGACCATAAATACGAGTTCAGACGTCAGAAAAGCGCCGTCCTCTTCAAATATGGAATCGGACTCACCCGCGATAATGGAGGAATGCGCCGATTCGACGCTATAAATCGCCTTACTAATCCCGGGAGTAACGTCCTTCCCGTCCCGATCGACGTCATAGAAACATATGTCCGGCATGTGAGCGCACTCCCAAGTCAAGTTTTTGCCCGGCTTCGTTAATGTTCCATTAATCCGGCACTAATCACTTTCGTGGGCTGCGCCAACAAATGCGACCCCTCCGTTTCATCAACCGGTAGCTCGCCATCCCTACGCAAATACTAATAATTTTATCGGGGAATACGAGATCCGCGGATAAAAAAAATTCCAATCTACGCCAAACACACCGGGCAATAAGCCAGTGTGAAATTTCTTCGGGAGGGCGTAAAAAGTGACGAGTTTTGTAAAGCGATAGTGGGTGGAGTGTTACGGTCTACGAACGGAGGACGACGTCCGGTTGTTCGGGTATCTTCCTACTTGCATCTGATAGCTATTAAATTAAGAACCGGCTTAATGGCTGCCATATTGTATCGGGACGCGGCACAGTAGACCCCCCTATAACACTTGATAATTCCGTATAATATGAATTGCGTGTTGTACGAGTCGCTTAGATTTTACAAATACGTGAGCCGTTCACAGCCTGGCACACATATTTGTAAAATGTAAGCGACTCGTACAACACGGAATTCATATAATACGGAATTATCAACAGTGTTATAGGGGGTCTACTCGTATGTCGGGTGGCGTTTCCTCCCCCTCGATAGTCAAACGGGAGCGGGCGAAGTCCCCGTAGATAAGAGATGCGAGTTTAGGAGGTACAGCTATTTAGTCACGACCTCACGTTTTGTAATTTCGTCGTTTTACGCCCCCTATTTTAAAAAGGCGCGCCTATTGGTAACCATCGAAGTCGATGCTCGACACCAAAAAAGTTAGCCGCGTGTTATAAGGGAGACCGAATTTTAAAACTCGATTATCGGTTCGGTAGTTAGTTGTACCGTAGGCGTGGGCTGCCGGGAGGGCGATAGTAGTGACGAAAGAGCCGGAGGCCCACCGCGAGGCCCACACGTTCGACGACAGATTCTATCGAGCGATTTTTTTAAAGGAGACGACAATTCGATTATTAGTTTTAAATGAGCCACGCGGACGGGACTCGGAAGATCCGCGTAATTCGATACGCGGTGTTTCGGGGAATGTAAAAAGCATTAAAAAAAATACGACGGTCGTGTCCGTTACCCGCCGCCATCTTTAAAAAATCGACGCATTCCGTCGGACTCGAATACGAGTCGGGTATAAATTACTTTCTGGTTATTTATTTAATGTTCGGATATTTAAATAATAAAGCTCGATTGTCGATAGAAGAGGCTAGTGTTTAAGTAGCGTTTCTTTACTTCTCCGCGCGTATTTGTAGGCAGCCCGCCCGTGGCACGCGTTTCTGTGGAATTGCCCGTTTCTGTTCGCACGTGTTGCGAGTAGATTTTCTGCTAAGTTAGTCTGCCGGAAAGACTTTTAATGGGGAGAAAGAGGACGTCTACTCGGTGACGTATCCTTTTTGTGATTTATTAGTTTCCCTCGATTGTCAAACGGGATGGTTGGACTCCCGGGCCAGGGAGAACAACCAAACGGAGGGTCGACTTCTGCTAAGTTGGCCAAATTCTCCGACTCGAAAACGCGCACTCCCTTAAGCACGAGTCAGAAAATTAAATTATTTTTCACTTTTCGTTCAAAATGGGGGTTTGAATCGTTAATTAAACTCGCGCCGAGAAGCGCGAGCGAAACACTACTATGCGAACCTATAGAAAATGATGAGAGAATAACTCATTACGTTAATCATTAAACGTAAACGATCTTAGTTCTTAAAAATCGCTTGGGAATGGCGATAAGCCAGGCGCGACGCCACGCGCTTTCGCGACTTTAACACTAGGCGACTTTACCGTATCTGGTAAAACAAAGCGGTAGGCTACCACTCTAGTCCGGTACAATCGTATTAATTTAAAGGGTCCGAAATACAAAAGATTTCGTTCGGATCTTAATGAAATCTCGCGCGTGGTAATTTCTACCCTTTAAATGGTATCGCGGATAAGTATAATACGTCACAGACCGAAAACTCTGTTGATTTTACGTTGGCGTAGGCCCCGTTCGAATCTACGATTTTCGGTGGGGTTCGGATCCCCCGAATTACCAATAAGAATATTATGGCGGATATTTTTATAAGAAATGCGCTTCCCGTTTCGGCTGCCGGACACGGTCTTCTTTCTAATTTAATTGACGAGAAAGTGACTAAAATGATTTGCTACGTCATCAATCTCGGCGCGTACCCACCGGTCTCAAAAAATGGGACATTATTTGTCTCCGGGACGAGAAACATATCTTCTAATAATAGAAGCGTGGCTCCGGCTTGCCAGAATTATCGCGGTAGTAAGGAAAAATTTCGAAAGGGCCCATTTGTTAAGGCCTTCCTTCGGCCTAGACGGCACGTGTCTGTACAATTTGTCTATTTGCGCAGATCTTGACGTAACGCGGATAACGAGGGAATTCTGAATTATTAAAATATACACTGTATATAGGCGACGCAACACCGAATATCTAGGCAACAACGGCGATATAACGACAGTAATATCTAAGGGGTAACGGTACAAAGGGAGTATTTGAAGCGCGCTGGTAATTTAACGGGCTTATCTAGGAGATATAACGGTACAAAGACAGTTCTAGCTTATTGTAGGATTACCGTAAGAGGGTGGCCTAACGATATAACATAGCCAAATTATAGAAATAGCGGTAAATAGGACCGTCTAGAGGTGCCGGCAAATTAAAATACGTGGGATATGGCGGAGGCTGGATAGGAAGATGTATCGAATATTTCGACGTCGGTGGCCATCGAAGCGACCCGATCTAACCTCGAGCTACGTTATTATCGAGTAATTAGAAATAAGTGTTCCGAAGACAACTATACCAAACGTTACGTTTCTTAATACAAATCGTTCCTCGCCTGGATATTCGCTAATCGATTTGCAAATATTGTAATTACCGCGGGCATCTCGGATACGAACGGGGGTTGCCAGACGTGGAAGATGCGGAATATCAGAAAGGTGGTTACTGCGTTTATAATAAGGGGAAGAGA